CAGGCGCCGTTTTTCTTCCGCTACGACAGCCCCACGCCCTCGGCGTGGGGGCGGGAGGGCTCCCCAGAAGGCCTGCCTTTTTCCGCCGGGGGTGCGGCGCATCGCCCGCTCGCCGGGGCGGAGGACCACACGTTCTCGTGCGGGATTCGGACGGCCCTTCGCCGCCAGCGCTTCCCGGCAACGTTTATGTTAATCACAAATAACACCTCGCGCGCGGGGGTGGGATGCTGGCGGGGAAATAAATTCATCCTCCGCGAGGAGGAGGAGGAGGAGGAAGCGACCTCCGGCGAATCCGAGGACGACCGCGTGGGGATGGCCCCGTGGGTGCTGAACTTTGTCTTCCCGTATACACGCCTGGCGGAAGCTGTGGAGTCTCGGCAAGCGCAAGAGGGGTTTCTTTTGCGTTCAGTAGTCTTTCAGATCGCCGGGAAAGAGTCCGATCGGGTGTGTTTCGCACACGAAAACTCGCTATTCTACGTGCTGAACAGCGGGCCCTACCTGGATGACCGGCGCATGTACTTTGTTCTCCATCTCCACGTCCCCGCGGGCAGGAGGGCTTCTAGAAAAAACGAACGAGACCACTCGAGCGCGCCGAATTCTCTCGATCCTGAAGAGGTGCTGCTTCTTGAAGAAAAGGATGAGGCGTTTTTGGTTTTGGAAAATTTACGGGAACAATGGTGCATGCCAGACTCCTGCGGTGCTGCGGTGAAGCTGGCCGCGGCGTTTCCTGATTCAGGTTCTAAATGAGGAAAAAAATCAAGAAAAGTGTATCTATAGACATGCAGTAATGATCTCTGTTAGAGAATTGTCACTTCTTCTACTTCTACCAGTTTGGTTGTCAGGCTTGAATGGATATATATTTAGATGATAGCGACTTATTCTGCTTTTCAGAAACGAGGGCTAATTAGATTTTTGTTATGTTTCCCGACAATTTCATCATGGACTTTTCCTTTTCGGAAGAAGTGAGGTGGCACTGATGCTGAACCTTCAAATTCCCTTTTCACCCCATTTTCTACTTCTGTGTTCTCCCTCTCTCTCTCTCTATATATATAAACAGTTCTTATTTATACTAAAGGTGGAAACACCAAAAAAAAAAAGGGAAAAATATCAAGATAACAAAAAATAGAATTTTTTCATTTTATTTTTGGCGTTTTGTGTGAGCAATATTTTCTTTTATTTTCGAAAAAAATAAAAAAAAGAAGGATAATTTAATCTAAGAAGGAAAATATTTGCCGATATCCAAGATGACGTTCTCCGGTTCCAATCCCTCAATCTGGGTTGGTGGTCTCGACCTCAGCCTAAACGAGCAGAAGTTGTACGATTATTTCGTTCGCATCGGCCCTGTCGCCTCCGTGCGCGTTTGTGTTGATTCGGCCACACAGAAATCCTTGGGCTATGGCTACGTGAACTTTCAAGACCCCGCGGATGCCGAGAAGGCGCTTGACCTCGTCGGCAGCAAACTCGGCAATCGGCACCTCCGCATCGCGAAGATCCAGCGCGACCCTGCCAAGCGCCGGAGCGGGATCAACAACATCGTGGTGAAGAAGCTCCCCGAGAGCATCGACACCCACGCGTTGAAGGACATGTTCGCGAAGTTCGGCCGGCTGACGAGTATTGTCCTGGCCTACGACGAGCGCGGGGTCTCCCGCGGCTACGCGCGGATCTCCTTCGACCGCGAGGAGTCCGCGGCCGAGGCGGTGAAGGAGATGAACGGGACGGAGGTGGATAGCCAACCGATCCTGGTCGAGCGCTACCAGCCCCAGCACCACGAGGAGATGCTCAAGCAGTTCGCGAATCTCTACGTGAAGAATCTCAAGCCCTCGGTGACCGACGCCCAGCTCCGGGAGTTTTTCGCGAGTTTTGGCGAGGTCACCTCCGCGAAGGTTCGGGACTTCGGCGAGGTCAAGACGGAGGTCGGCTTCGGCTACGTCGCGTTTGTCGAGCACGACGACGCCGTGAAGGCGGTGGAGGCGCTGAACGGGAAGGAGTGCGAGATCGCCCAGACGGGGACGGCCCTCGATGTCAGCCGCTTCCGCTCCCGCGAGGAGCGCCAGCGCGAGCGCGCGAAGCAGTTCCTGAACTACCCCAACCTCTACGTCAAGGGCTTCGACGAGACGGTCACGAGCGAGCGGCTGAAGGAGCTCTTCGAGACCTACGGCGAGACCATCTCCGTTCGCGTGATGACGGACAGCGAGACGGGGATCTCGCACTGCTTCGGCTTTGTCTCGATGAAGGACCACGCGGCGGCCGCCCAGGCGATCCAGATGCTCCAGGGCAGCACCCTGCTGAGCTCGCGCCCCCTCTTCGTGACCTACGCCCTGCGGAAGGAGATCCGCCGGCAGAACATGGAGGAGCGCAATAAACACCAATTCCGCATCCGCCATAACCACATGGGCGGCGGGCTTGGGGGCCCGCCGTCGATGGGGTTTATGGGGGGGCCGAAGCTCTTCGGGGGCATGAACATGCCCTTCGTGAACCCGCGCATGCCGATGATGCCGATGGGGGCGGGGGCCGCCGGGGGGGCGGGCTTCAACCTCCCCCGCTCCATGGGCGCGGGGCCGGCGCCGATGAACCAGATGCGCGTGGCCCGCCCGATGGCCGCGCAGAAGCCGCCGCTGCACGCGATGGTCCCGCAGCCCTACGCGGCCCAGCAGGCCCCTCACGCCCCCACGCAGAGCCTGGCGGCGATGTTACCCAGCCTGACGCCGGACCAGCAGCGCAACGTCCTCGGGGAGCGGCTCTACAGCTACATCGTCCGCAGCCACCCCACCCTCGCCGCGAAGGTCACCGGGATGCTGCTCGAGATGGAGACGGGCGAGATCGTCAACATGCTCGAGAACCCGGCGCTGCTGGATAGCAAGATTAACGAGGCCCTCGACGTGCTCAATCACC